GTAGTGTTTAGACATCTGTTATTACAGTCATCACCATAACCTTACCTTCTAGTTGTGTGTGTTACTATGTAGGCTTGCTGGCAAGTCTTATATCACCCCTTGTCTCTGTACTCCTAGTCTACTCATGAGTATATATAGGAAGCAGGAGGAAGTGGATCAGGGTACAATACTCTATGCCTTCACTGTTCACTCTTGTTATCATCTAACCACAAGATTCTACCTTAGTGTCTTCCTGCACAACAAAGTCACCTTCACACACAACAACCTTCGCCAACCCCTTCAAGGCTTAGCTACCCTTGTTGCTTCTTCCACTGGGTGTTAGAGAGAGTAAAATAATTGTTTGTTAAACGAGAAATGTTGAGACAACTGCAAGAACCGGATAAGAAAGCTTGGTCCATCACAAAGGAGAAGTATCAAAACAACTGTGGGAACTGGACAGGTTGGCAGTGAGAGATTTAACTTTCCCTTGAAAGACACCTCAGCTCATCACAGCTTCCTCATGTAATATTGCATTTGTCACAAGATATGTTCCTACTTGAGTGCACATCTCCATTGTCTGGAATGCTCAGCTATCCCAGTGTTCAATCAATGTGATTACTAAAATTGATACATTGCATGACTATATTCAGGAAATCTCTTCTAAAACAGAAGCTTGAAACCCTCGACAGATATCGTTTTGATAAGGACAGGAATGTAAAAGCATGGAAAGAGATTCCTGTGGCAAACAAGCGACTTGCTCAAATTTTGCTTTCAAGAATAAGGGATATGTAGCAATAGTACGTTTCGATGCAAGTATAGCATGTTTCTGTTGTATGAAGTCATCTTGCCAACCATCTATGCAGGATAAACCCAGGCCTATTTTTGGAGAATGTCATATGCAGCTTCCTCTTGTGTAGGTCACCCTCTATTGGATATCGCGCACCTTTGTACGATCAAGTCTGAGTAATCTTGACCTGGCAGTAATGCTCACTGACTTCTTGTTCGCCTGTGGTTCATTGTCAACAATGTTGTTGACCTTGGCGCTCAAGATGGCATTGTTGGGTGAAGTTTTCTGCAATCTGTAGATAACATCCTTGAACACAATTCTAATTCTTGCACGGTTCCGTGGGAGAGATTCAAACAATTAGTAGCAAAGGAGCCAGGTGTCATAGCCGTCACGTGACGCTTTGCTACCCCGGCAAGAGACCCCCTCAGATGTCCCCTTGGAGACACCTCTTGACACCCTCACAGGGGTCTACTTTTACATCTCCCATAGGTGCTTATTATAATAGGCTCATTGTATGAATATACTTTATCCGTTATAACACCATTACCCTTAGACCTAGCCCTGCGCAGACTGTTAGTCCTTCCCCCTAATACCGGGCATGGTGGAGAGGCAAGTCTTAGTGAAAGGGGCAAGTGATAAACACAGAGCGGCGCCGATTTGATTCCATACAGACAGCCTTGGTTCACTACCTTAGCATTTGGCATTGCTGTGGACTTGCCAGGGGCCTTTGATATTGAAGTGTTATTCCGGGGGAAAAGAAACATGAAATGTGGGCTGGGAATTGGGCTAGAGGACAGTGTTAGCTGATTGAAACCCATATTACATTGAATGAGCTCGAATCTCAATCGGCAAATCCGCCTTGTGACCCAGCCCAGTCTTGGGTCAACATCGACAAGATGGCAGACGAGGCAAGAACTCTCGAGATGGGGAGCTACTTTACAAGGAGAAGGAACCCTTGGTGTGGGTCGTCGAGGATGCAATGGCATTGAAAAATCAGACTCAGTTGACCAAGCTGTCAAAGATCACCTTCAAACAATCATGCCATCGGCATTCAAGGAATTGATGCCGTCACAGAGGTGCGCTTTCAAAAACGGCAATCGGCACGCCTGCTTAACAATAAACGATCAACCAAGAGCTGATCACAGTCTACCTACCTGCAGTTACGGCTCAAACAAGAAGGATGGGACCCTACCTTCCGAGTCAATTTCTCCAGGGAGGAAAAGAAGAACAAGAGGGTCAGACCGGACGAGAAGCCCGCCAACAAGAAGCCCATCAACAAGACCCCCGAAGACCAGAAGCTCAATGACAAGCAGCCCGACGCTACCAAAGCTAGTAAGTAATCAAATACAGTCCAATGGTGCACATGCTGATGGTGCTCTGCAGCTACATAACCCAAACATTTCCAACAAGGAATGTTGCACCTTAGCTTTAGCTGTAACCTGCACCTGACCACATTTGGCCCATTGTCTCACATCAAACAAACGTCATTTGGGCACAAGACAATGTTCAACACTTCTACAACATAATCACACCCATGTTTCATGTGTTTTGGAGCATTTTATCAGCCATCAAGCCCGTGCGGCCAAGAACAATCAAGTATCTGCCTACTGGCTACAGACAGAGATAGTGCCAAGAACTTATATATCAACCATCAACAACAATGGTACATGGTGACTCTCATAGAAAACATACCAAGTGCAATTCATGACCATCACAAAGATATCCTTTAGCTGTGTATTATATGGTGATCTTGAGCGAGCTGATTTGCTGCTTATGCCATCTGAATCCATACCTCTCACCAATTTGGCACGCTCAACTTATAGACACACTTGAAGCCGAAACAATCAGCCTTCAAACCAGATAATTTACTTCAAAACCCAGACATCATGGAGCAGGGATAATGCACATGTACTTTGGCTTGCCATCATTATTGTTTACCTTTGGCCTGACATCCAATCTCAAACAAAAAGCATGCTAGGCCCAAATCATGTTCAACATTCCTATGACATGATTGCACCCTACTTCCATATCAGCAGCAGCATCTTGTGAACCATTGTGTGGGATGTGCCAGATTCTACAAGAATATTCACTTACTGGCTACAGACAGAGGCATCAGAAATCTACTTGTCAACACCTGACAACTATGGTACATGTTTGCTCTCATACAGAAATGAATGAATCATACTTCACAAAGAATCCTTGACGGATGGGTAGCCATGGTTTGATATGACAGCTTTGAGAGAGGTGACCTATTTCTTGCTTCATCTTGACTCCAAATCCCTTATTGATCTGGTACTCTCATCCTTCTTCATCTAGCTCTGATTCGATACTTTAACTCAAGATTACTGGTGATTGTATGGGTATGATCAACTTCACTCATGAAGAGAATATTACCTTGTTAGCCAATGAACAATCATCTTGGAAGCGCCTTCCACCTTTGCCAAAATCCAACTATGAAGAGGTTGAAAAGGAATTGGCTCCTTCTAACAAGCCCAACATGGCTCAAAAAAACAAAGCTAGGCAAAGAGTCAAAGCCACTGGCACTGAGCCTAGACTCCATATGGAAGCCACCAAGGCAGCAAAAGCGCAGAAAGCCTGACCTTTGACTGCTTTCAGGTATGAGCCATGTGTATGCACGTTGGATTGATATTGACACAATGACTCAAATGATCACAAACGCTCTTGCCTCTTGAAACTTGCTCATTGGGAAACATTTGGCAGTGTTTTCACTCCAGCAGTGTTTCCAACATCACGATTGATCCGATTCTTTCAGCATTTGATATGATATTCATTCAGGTCCCCCCAATTTGTCATACAGCGTTATAACAAATCGGCAGCAACTGACTTCTGTGATTGCCCCAAATTCAGGATCCTTGTCTCTCTCCTTTGTCTCTCCCTATGCATCTATGTATACAACTTGCCTTGCTGAAAAGTGTTACGGTCGGGCCTAGTGGTAGCAAACGGCTAGCCTAGGTGGAAAATTTCAGTGGGAATTGTGCTTAGGCGGAGATGCTCATCAGGAAGTGTTTGGTTGCATATGATATGAACCTTGTGTAGGGGAGTCAGATAATTCCAATTGGTCAATTGTTGCCTCTCTGAGGCAGGCAACTATCACTGCTATTGCTCAGTCTTTAGGCAGCCGACTTGGATTCTCAATATATTGATCCACTTCCGGTTGATTGAATAGCCAGGGCACAAAGCCCAGCTGAGACGGACGATACAAGTTTCAGCTGCATACACACTCAAACTGCTAGCCTTCTAGTGGACTGACCTGTGCATTCTCCTTTAGATCATTTGACTTCCTCACAAAACGATGGGTCAAAGTTAAAGGTGCAAAATTGCAAGGGACGTGTATGATCACATGGCTTGGGGATGGTCAAGATGGCTGCAAGTAGCGATTGGACCTCCTTGTAGAAACAACTGACGGCCGGCTGACATCAAGGAAAACGTGTTGTGATATCAGCCTAAGCTGATGATGTAGCTGTCCCTTTGATGGTATTGACTATTGCTATCTCTTGTGTGAATGACTATGTATATAATTGCTTACACAAAAGTAAAGTAGTACATGAGAGGGGAAAGAGAAATCAGGCCCAAATGGCCTGCTATATATACTTTTCTGGGAAGGGGCAAGCAGTGGCAACCGTCGAACAATATCGATTGTTTGGCGAACAATATTGGCAAACAATATCGGTTGTCTGGCGAATAACATCGGTTGTTTGGTGGCCGAACGACATCGGTGATTTATTTCAAACCAATCCTTCTAGCACTTGCTAGAATGTCCAGTGCCTTTTGCTTCCTTTTTGCTTCCAGCTTTGGGTTTGAGATTGCTTTCACATGTTGATGACTAATCATCATATGCTGATTTGCAACACTGGGTCAAGTTCTTACTTGACAATACCAACTTCAGCTCGGGCATAAATAGTACTAGTCAGACCTGTCGGGAGTGTACAATCTATAGTAGAGGCAAGTAGTGGCCATTTGCGTCAAGGTAGAGTCACAAGATATCAGTATTGGGATCAGTGAACGCGCACAGGCAACATCTCATTGGTGCATCCCTATCAGCCAACCTACCAACATGACCATCATGGGCCTTTTTCTTCCTTGGCAACAGTCTCAACACAAGTGTGCTGTTGAGCTTGTCTAGGCGTTATGATCCTTCCCTGACTCCTGCCTGGGTTATAGTAAGATCTTGTATCTCCTGGGGGAGGAATTGATACTGGTGGCATGGATTTGATCATGTGAAACAACTGCAATTGCCAATGGCAGTCTCAGGCGGAGTTTCCTGGAAACCTTTCCAGTTCTCATGTACCAGTGGCATGTTTCCGTGCCTTTCAATGAGAGGGCAGTTAATCTCTGATGTAGGTAGCCAGGGCTTCAAATCCACCGGGATTCTAACCCTTGTAGCAGGTGATGATGTGAGAATGTTAGAGATTGACATGCTATAACATCATAAATGATGCTCGAGGTGCAACCTCAAGCATAAAGGGTCAACATGTGACCAGGATCATATTTTATAACTGCAGTCACACATCTGTGACTGGGGACCCTCTTGTGCGACTGGAGTCACCTATCGGTGATGTCATTTGTGACTGAAGTCACAAATATGAGACTGATATTGTAGATACATGACAGGGTCGCAATTGTGTGATTGCTCCAGTTGCAATTTCACTAGAGAACACGCGCACCAGAGCAGCATATATGGCAGATCATATGGGTCTGATTTCTCTTTCCGCTCACATGTACTACTGTCTTTTTAGGATACCAATGAGATACATAGTTATCACACAACAGCTAGTATTAAACAACATCATCAAAAGAATAATGTTACAGGGCGATCGATATCGGGCCTGACGCATTCCTCGCTTTCGGCCGAGATCATCGAGAAGCCCAACAACCCTTACGTATGCGAGATCGGACTTTACGGTACAGGAACACACAGATCCGTACGCGAAGCGAGGGAAAGGATGTCGAAGCGAACAAGAGAGAGAAACGTAGACGAGTCAAGAGACGAACGAGTAGAAGCGCAGGGAGAGGGGTCTAGAGTCCGTTTCCGTACGCTTTGGTACGAGTATTCAGCTTCTGTAATGTAGCGTACTTGTTATGAGACGCTTGAGTACGGAATAGGACTCAAGCGTCGATATTACATCTCTTCGATACTTAATCATCGTACAAGAGTAAAGGTCACTATCCTGACGGTTAGCCACCCTTACAAGCAGTTCTCTACAGTAAAGTACCTTTTCGCACCGGACTTCACCTTTCGCTTACGCGGCTAGCCCTCCCGTGACAAATAGCTATACTATCAGCTTAGGCTGATGTCACAACACGCAGGAGGGTCAAGGGTCACAAGATAGCACCAACTTGTCGTTCTTAAGTATTGGAGGTCTATCAGGTACATGTCAGCTTGGACCAATCAAGAAAGTGGTTGTTTAGCTTGCAGCCCGTTCAGTTCTCTGGCGCAATGCCTTTGGTATCAAAGCCAGTCAGTATGAGGAAACAGGTCTCCTCACTCAGGTGCATGTCCAATTGACTGAGGATATTGTAGATCCTTTTACAATTGTTGCCGCATCCACATGTGATTCAATCTCAGACTTAGAGTATCCCAAGCGTTATTTAGCAACTTGCAAATAAAGCGGCGGATCTTGTCTTTGGTGGGACCTTGGCTTCGGAAATCATAGTTGTCAAGATGAACTCCTAGCTTGTTCCGGTAATTCTCGATCAGCTTGGAGAAATCAGGTGTTGCTTCAGAGTCAAGAGCCAGGAGGCACTGCACCAGCACAATCAGACAGGGATCCATAGCCTTGGGTTTGGAATCATGGTCGTCATAGTTGTTGTTGTTGTCAGCATCTGCATCCTGTTCAACAGTACTGTTTGCCTGCGTTCCATGCTTTCCAGTCCATCCAGGGTCCACAACATGCTCCATCTGCATGACCATAAGGTCGGTGCATTACAATTCGAAACCCCAATGCTCCTGTGTGAGCAAGACAACCCTGCTCCCATGCATACTTGGATAGGCTCTTTGCTGTCAACATTGGCAAGTGGCCAGATAAACCATGGCCGGAATTCACACATGATCTTGATCTGTAGGCCCGCCTTGCTTACTGTGCGCTGCTCTGACCATAGTCCTCTCATGTATAGGATGGTTTGATGCCCACATCTAGACAGAGGCAATATGCTTGTTGATTGCAAAAAGTTTATGAGCATACGTCTGTGTAGACGCCCGTTCATGGGCCATTGTGACATAAAATATGAGTCACATTCTTGTGTCTCACATTGTACAGCAATAGCATAATGGACATGAGTTATTATACGTCATACCTAGCAGCTCCAAGCTGCAGGATGTACTTACATCACCTCTAGCCATCCAAGCCACCTCCCCCATCATAGGCATACCATCAAAGACCGTGCTGATGTATTCTTGGTCTATGTCCCTCCAGCAGGCTCAGCCGCACCTGTCAACCCAGCATTTCTAAGTTGGTGGTTCAAGTGGGTAGTTGAGTCACCTTGGTTTTTGGCAGGGTTGAAGGTTATCCTTGCCCACTTGTCTTGGTCAGTGGATATTTGATTGCTCTGATTGGTTTTTTTCCTCTTCCCTGTGGGGGTGTTACTAGACATGACACTCAGATGTTTCATTGCAGTGGCCTCAATTTGTATCCAAATTCCGGGGAGCCATGTTCAGTCAAATGGTTGATGTGACCATGCATGTCATGCTAATGGAAGGTAATTGAGAGTGCTGAGTTAGCTTAGAGTGTAGACCTGACATGTGAATGGGGTAACTTGATTGCTGTACAACCAAATTAAATCTGACACAAAAACGGATTTGCCAAATCAAATTGAAGTGTCCGATTTGGGTCAAACTGATGTGATATGTCAAACATCCATTTGATCATGCAGCACGCATTGAAGGTCCATTTTATAACCATCTCATCCAGCCGCAATGTCTCTCATTCCGCAATGATAGAGACAAGCTCCTGCCATCTAAATGGCCTTAGATTCTCCACCATCTTCTGGGTCAATTCCTAATGGTAATTTTCAGGAAATAAATTTCATTCAACCTCAAATGCTGCCAGACCAGCCTGTTTGACATTGACAATAGCATATTAGGCTTGCCAGCAAGCCTGGAGCGCTATTACATGAGACTGATAAGGTAAGGGTGGGATCATGAATGAAATAACGGATGTAGTACAAAGGGTACTACATCACAGTGGTTACATAGACAATTCTTTGAATAGACCTCAGCATACACCCCTAGCGGGGGTTCCCCTATAGCATTTCCACAAAGATACATATGTGCGCATACTGCGGATAAAGAACTTTGGGCTTACGCAAGCATCTATCATAGAGAGTTGCCTTCAGCAGCTAATTCCTGCTTTTCTGAGAGGTCTAATGAAGGAGAGGATGGGAGAAGGCCCAGGTATTTTCAGAATAGACCCTCTTCCTCCAACCGCAAGCGCTTGGTTGATGTTGCTGCACAGCGTATTGAAGAGGATGGGGCAAAGAGGTTGCAAGACAAGATGATGCATGTTACGGACCGACCCAAAACGGCCCTCCACACACAAGTCTGCATGCGTCAACTTGTTGTGTTGACACAATGACTGTTGAGTATCTCCATTGAGGATGCATACCTAGGCACTTGCCTTCTCCCTTTCCTGCCTTCCAGCGAGGCAACTCAATGCAACAGGACACAACTTGAAACTCTCTTTGTGGTGGCAAACCCTCCCACGTTCCTTCTTCAGAATCGTATATATAGCTGACCAATCCAGCCTGATTGTACATTCCCTGTCATTCTCTCTCTTCTTTCCCAAGAAGAATCATCATATGTTACATCCCTAACACACTCGCCACCAATCACCTTTCACTACTCAACACTGGAGCTCTCGTCAAGTCCTTCATGGTTCAGCAAGCAGATTGCGCACCAAGCACTTCCCATTAAGTATCTCTGCCTTAGCACAATTGCCACTGACGCTTTCCATCTAGGCTAGCCTTTCGCTACCATTAGGCCTGACCGTAACAATGTACAAGTCCAACCAATGTTTTGGCACCTCGACCTGGTCCGCAGAACACCTTGCTTACAAGGAAATGAAGCTTGCTGTTGAGGAAAGAAGGATTGAGGCCAACCTTGCCATCACCAAGTTGAATGCCGCCATTGCCAAGTCAAACGCTGCCATCGCGCAATCAAACGAATGAGTATGGGAGGTCCATGCCCTTGGTATGGTTAGATCAGGAGGTTTGAAGGAATAAGTTTGGGATTTCCAAGTCCTTGGTATGGTTGGGTCGGGAGAACAAAGTCTTTGGTTCTACATTTTATGTCTTCATCACTCCTTCTGAATTATGTGGCGTCACGCCTTACGTCCTTATGTACGTCTCTTCCCACTTATAGCTTGTCATCTATGTCTTATTATGAAAGGTGTCCCATCTTCTTCTATTCTAAAGCTCAACTCTCAATTGTCATAAATTCTCATACCGTCACACGACCCTATGACGATCAATGATTAACATTGACTCTTTTGTCTCACGCATACCTCACAATCTTGCAACAATCAGCAATCAATGATCAACCGACGAACGATGCACCTGATGCCTGATGATGTCGGGGATGTCTCATCACCGTGATTGTATCTGGGTTCGATCGATCGGACCTCCATTTCTGTCCGGACATGGCTTTGCAAGGGCGCAGTGGCCAATGTCGCCATCGAGTCGATCCTGTTTTCATTCCGCTGTTGCCCTCCTTTAGTTTTTGGAAGATCATGGGATCATATGACATCCTTTGACTTTTCGTGCGAATCGGTCAGCAGACTCGTAGCTCGGCGATAGCCTTTCGCAACTATGCAAGTTATTGATTTTTGACGATTCAATGATTGATTTGATCTTGATGCGCATATATATATCATCATTCCATCAAGCTCCCGCAGCGACCCCAACCGTATGCAACCTCATCCAACACTAGTCAACAGTGCTTGTATAAGGTCCTCCGCCTTTCTTTGCCTTTCTACCAACTACATCCTTACCTCACCGAAACAGATTCACTCTACCAACCGCATCGGCCAATGTCGCCGCCTCTTGGTCTAAACGTATATCCATTCTAATCACATAGACCAGGTCCGACGCTGCCGCCTCTTTGTCCAAACATATATCCATTCTACCACATCCATCGGGTCCCGCGCCAACGCTTGGAGGACAGAGAACGATTATACAGATAATTAGGACCATATTTATTACGACAATGCCTTTCTCGAAGCCGACGAACACGAGGAGGTGTCTAACGTCAAGAGGCTTGCAATCCAAGTCCGCTCGACGCACTCTCAAGCAAGACACCGTCATATACGACTCTTGGCTCAAGTGTTTCCTGAAATGCGCTCAGAGCTGGTCGAGTGGTACTGCTTGCCCATCAAGACGAAATGATCCCTAGCCTCGGGAAGGCTTATTCTTCAACCCTCCACTTTAGGTACGAGCTATGTCGACAGTCGCGAAGTGTTGTAAGCCGCAAGCTCATACTGGACCGACAGAATGCAAGACTCACCGCAATAAACCCAGATGGACGATCATAGACAAAGGCCTAGACAAAAGATCGCATTTCCTGGAGCGATGATCAAGCTTGACTCAGCTCGGACCGTATTACTGATACTGTTACCGCCTTTCTGGACTACATTCGAGGCTTACCGTGAACGCATCGCGGAGATCCTGGCTTAGGCTGACCGAGCCAGGTCGTTCGACGTGTGCCGCCGCTTCATCGATACTTGCATCGCGGTCCAGGCGAAGTGGTGGTGATCACACGACTGGGTTGATTGGCGACGATCGTTTAAGTTGCAGTCAGATCGTATATCTTCCCATATTTTCGATAACGAAGGTCGTCGTGCTCCAGCTATGTATAATCCTGGTTGCAGCGGATGCGGGGCGTTTCTACGGGCACGGATGTATGGTTGGAAGCTACCCATTGTGTCGCAAAGTAAGCAGAGAATTCGAAGGACCGGATTCAGGAAGACATTTACCTATCTCCCACCGACTGACAGCTCGTACTGTAACGCTTCTCCTCTCATCTGTCTACATTACCCGCCTGAAAGTGAAGCGATCAGCTCTGAGAACTTCTTCGATCCAACGCCCGGAGAGGACTCACTTGAGAGCATTTGAAACACTTCCGAAAGACCTCTTCCTTGCCGCGCATGCCCGACTCCTCAAGCTGACGTTCGTACTCCAAACTAGCTGCTAGCAGCTTTTGCGTGTGCATGTCCACAAAGTCGGTGTCGGAGATTCCAGCTCCGGCTATCGGCTTGACGGCCATGAATATGGTGACCAAGATTTCCCTATGCCACGATGACTCTAGATCCAGCGATACGCTCTGTGTGTCTCCCATCATCTCCAGTACGAATATCAGGGTGATCATCTGCTGCACCAGCAATCGCTCAAAGGCGGCAACGACATCGGCCAGGTCTCCGCCGTGGGAAGGAGATTGCTGAACTATTCGCGGGACGAGCGTCCACGCTGTGGTCGTATTGACGTTGAGACCGTACTGCATGTAATCCAGAAACTCGGCGACCATCTTGTAGTACCGAGCGAGGGCAAACAGCTCGGGTGCGGATGATGGCTGCACTTCGAGCAGAGACGGTCGATCGTCGATGGGAAAGCGTAGCAGCAAGGTCTCTTGAGCTTGGGTATACTTGTCGACGCTTTTCAACCAACGGATCGCTTGTGCAGACATTTTCGAGGGCGGTAAAAGAGCTACGACTGGTTCTGTATCTTTGGAGGGATCGTCTGCGTCGTGGGGGTCTGGCCACTTGTACGGTGGTCAAGTTAGGGTGCGTTCGCGACCGCTGTCTAGACAGTTTTTCAAGCAGTTTTCGACCGAATCGGGTAACGAGGCGTACGCGTACGTTTTTACTAGGCGTCCCCCGCTAAAAAAATATACGCGATTCTCTCGTAAAAATGTCAAGATCGAAAATGCACCTTTTCGGTAACATTGGAAGGTGACAGGTTGAATCTGGATCCGTTCTTCCACCGTTTGGCTGTGTGGTACTAGCGATTTGTGGAAGACCCAAACCAAACGATTCCAACGACTTTTTGTACATGACGTCGAAACGGCTGAAATCGATACGTTTTTCACGTTTCGAGGCTAACAAAACCGTCAACAACATCGTGCGATGGAGTCAGGCAGTCTTGCTAGTAGTTCCCAGCCAAACGCTGCCCTCCAACACCCGGCAGGCCGAGGAACGGACTCGCCGTTCCTCGTTCCGACGCTAAACGACGCCTTCAACCACCGAAACGGACGAACGAACGACTTACGGTCTTCGGTAGCACCCTCTAGCCGTCTGTCTAGTACCCCAACACCTTCGTTTATCTCCCGAGAAGGTTCTACGTTCTCCCGCGATGGATCTACGTTCCCCCTTGATCCTTCGTTGATGGCAGGTCGTTCGCCGTCGTGGGGGAGGGAGTCGTCGTCGGGGGGTGCTTCGTTCTTCGCTGGGATGAGGCTAGATAGGGAGGGTACGGTGGCGTCGACGGTGACGTCTATAGGGAGCACAGGGAGGTCGAGTCAGCGTGAGAACGCATCGTGGACCGACGCTGACGACGAATTGATGGTGGATCTACTTCTCGAGTCGGTCCGACAAGGTCAGAAGTCCGAAAACGGCTTCAAGAAGGGTGTGTGGGGTAAGGTGGTAACGGAGGTGAACAGGGTAAGGACTCAGGGTGGTCCGAAGGACGAACGATCGGCTAGAGGTCGGTATTCGTTAGTAAGTAGTCGAGAATCACATCGACGAGAACGGATTCTTACCTTCTCGATAGCTACGTAAGGAGAAGTGGGAACCGATTCACACTATGATGACGACGTTGTCTGGTGCTGGCTTTGACGAGGACCTTGGCTGTGTTACGCTACCGGAGAAGGGGTGGCGAGAGTTACGAGAGTCGGGTGTAAGTCGATAGTTGTAGTCGATCGTCGACGTCGATGTCGTTCTATAGGGCATATTCGAACGTCAAACGCGTACGCGTCGACCTAGACGATCGACATACAAATCACCTCCTTTGACAACGAGTATCGTCTAAACTTCAAGTCGACATTACATAGTCCGAGGGCAACCTGAAACTGCTAGCTTGGAGGAACAAGAAGTGCTCCCTCTACCCTCGCCTTGACCTGTTGTTTTCCCCCGCTACCGCCGACGGTCGTTACGCAATGAACCCCTTTCGTCGACCTCGTTCTCTTGGCTCAAGAAGTCCGGAGAGGAACAGGGAGGGAGACGATACGTCGTCGAGGTCAGTGGGAAGCGTACGTCAAGTGTAGTTGCTAGTAATTGACTAGCAATTACACACAGCGATGACTCCGAGCCGACCTCGACGCCGACTCGATCGAAAACGACTAAAACGACTCCAAAACGGTCTCGAGACACACAACTTCGAGAACAGGTCGCCGAACGGCTCGAATCGCTCGACGAGCGTATCGCTGAATGCATGAAGGACATAGCTAAGCGAGACCCAGGGTCACAGCTGAAACAGGCGTTCGAGAAGCTGGCCGGCGTCGTCGACGAGTACGAACTCAGTAAAGATGATGAATATCGCGTTGTTCAGCACTTTACGGAACGGCCGTCGACGGCGATTGCTTTCCTCGCTGTACCGCCAGAGTTCCTCGGCCGTACGCTTAGACGCATAGTAACTCTGGAAGAACGGAGGGAAGAACGGGAAGAGGCAGAGATGGCGAAAAGACGACGTGTTCGGGACGATCGAGACGAATATGATGAATAGACGTCGGACGTTCTTACTACGATCTAAGGTGAGTCTGATACTCTCTCCACATACGGCTAGCTATCTTATTGCGTCTCTCCTTCGCTAAACGATCCCGTATCGACCTCGTTATCACCACGTCTCGTCTAGCCGGCTCGATATCACCCTCTTCGACCCTCTCTCCGTCGACGTCGTTCTCGTCACCCTCCCAATCGCCCTCGTCGTCACCGTGAAGCATGATGAAGTTGTGTAGGGCGAAGCAGACGTAGACGATCTTAACCTGCGTGCTGATGGGGTATGTCGTTCCGTATTTGAGAACCTATGTCGATACGCGAATATTCGAACGATTTCAGCGAGCGATTCGAGGTGCCGACCGACGTCGATGGCGTGACGTGTTGACGTCGTTCTAACCGGCCTACTCACCTTGAATCTACCCTTAGCAATACCGAAGGCCCTCTCTATAATGTTACGGCAGCTAGAGTGGCGTAGGTTGTATAGTTCTTTCTCGTTCTTAGGTCTAGTCGATCGTCAAAGGCAGTGGTGAGATTTTCAACCCGTTAGCCTGAGAACGTATGAGAACGATCCGACAGCGTTTGGCTGGTAGACGCACTTGTTTCCTGCCGTTCCCCACTCCTTAAGATGGTATCGTACTCCTCTGAACGGGGTGAGCAACTCCAGCGAAAGACCGTAGCCGGCATCAGCTAAAAGGTGGTGTTTGGGTGGTATCGTCAGGCCGTCGGCGACTGCGGCCCTGTATACGTTGCTATCGTGGTCGCTGCCCTCCCAGCCTGCGTAGATAAAGGAGAATAGACCGTCGAAGCGAACACAGGCCAGAACGTTGAAGCTATTGTATTTATTTCGATTGCGAAATCGCGCTGAATCGCCCGGTGGTGGTGTCGCTATAATATGGGTACCGTCGATGGCGCCGATGCACCGTTTCGTAAGGGGACGGTACTTAGCACTGACGTAGCGGTCGTGGTCGAGAGGGAGGTTGTTTGCGGTTGACTGAACGACGTATTCACCGTAGAACGAAACGTCGAAGAGGGCATCTAATATTTGATGAAAATACCTGTATTTTCGGTCAGAGATTGATGTTCACCCGGAGACCAGGGCTGTCAACGTTTGAGGCACATACTTGCTGACACTTGCCTGTGAAAACTGCCAGAACTCTCGAGTAGCTCGGTTTGACGCCGACCGCCGTAACATCCACAACGTCATAGCAACTTTCGCTCGTAGTTCGACGGTTGGGGAGGGTTTGACGGTTCCGTTTCGTTCTAGATCGCTACAAATACGTTGTAGACCTCTTGGTGACATTCCTAAGGCGTCGTGGCAAGCGTCAGGGTGTCCTTGTACCAGTTGTTCGACTATTTCCGATGATTTGAAGGGAGTGACGAGTATCGATCGGAGGGGGGGCCTTTCTAGCGTTCCTCGTAGGACTTCGATGTAAGCGGTTGAGAGGACGAGTATTTGGTTTATATCGGTATAGTTGACATCGAGCAGTAGGTCGTCATCAGAGGCCTCTGAATCTTCAATAAAGTCCATGATATTTATATCTAGATCGCACGATATCAGCTAATTACGAACACGACGATGGAACAATAGACTATCGATGTCTAGACGACTTCGAGTAAGTCGCGTTCGAATATGTTCAATAAAGGTCGACAAGTCTATGGTCAAAAACTTCAAAAATGTCACCTCGAACAGACATGTTGCCGGCATGCGATGAATTTTCGCGCAGCCCAAAAATCACACGCAATTGCTAGTAAAATCTGGGTCCGTTAAAAACTGTCGACAAAACGAGCAGCCGGTCGCGAACACCCCCTTAGACAAGAAGGTGGATGGCAATAGAGGCCATGGCCGGCCAGACGATCACGTGATCTCACGATGGGTCCCGTATCGCATCCGATACAGCGAAGGAATCGACCATCTCTACCGACTTCTGCAGCTACTACTTGTACCTACTTCATGGCCTCTTCTCTTCGAGCTACACTCATCGCCATGACCATCAACATTCTCGGTGTTATCGACGCTAGCCCATTCCTGGAGAGACTAGCTAGCTGCTCACCCAATACCGACCTCGTCATACGGACCAGCGAGCTCTCCCAGTTCACTCGGCCCATCCTGCAATGTCTCGTCAGCGCGATAGACTATCCCTGGACCGTCATCGCCAACGCTACCACGCAATTGGAACAGAAGACGATCTCGCATCGGGTATCTAGGATGAAGATGAGAGCCTATGTCGGAGCGTATGGCCATTTAAGCAGAGAATGGAAATGTTCAGGTTGTTCGGACAAGCCGTTCTGTCTAAGAGGCACGCCAGACCTAGAGTACGCAGTTGATCAGCAGTTTCTGCTATCGAGAATGACAATAACACCCTCTTTATGTTGTAATCTAGAGCTCAACAATGGCCATCGGCTTTCTTGAGCTGTACCGGATGTCTGAGAGGAAAGAGACCATGTCACGACAAGATACACGACCTGCCAATCAGCCTGACGACGGTCAGAGCCCTGGACGCCCTTTTCCAGAAATCGGTAAATCAGATTTTCGACGACAAGGATGAGCCTGTCACGTCGGCGCAGGAATATTATAGATGGAAGATCGGGAGCGAGGAAGAAGAAGAAGATCTGGGAGACGAGGAGATCAAGTTTTTGGTGAACGAGACGTGAGTGCCTTTCTTCTTGGTCGGTCATAACTTGGAACATATATCCATACCCTTGACATTCTTTTGTCTCTTCCTATAGGCTGAGTGCAGTGTGCTGGACCCGAGCCAAAGCGGAAGCTCACGGAGATGTCGAGTAGGTTGCTGCCGAGCCGCTGATCCCGTTCTCGACGCTGATTAGGCCCACATCACATCGTTCCGCATCGACCTAGGTACAAGATACGCTTGGCTACTTCCTGCAGCAGTGGCGGGATCGAGCTCGATTTCCCGTTCGCTTCGTCAGGGCAAGCGCACGAAGACATCGAGGCTGTGGAGGTGCAGATGCAGATCGAAGCATCTGGGGAAGGGGTCGACAGCGCCGGACCTGTAGCAAGAGATGACGTTGGTACCGGAGAGGATCGTACGTTGGCAGCCCGGTTCAAACACTTGGTCGATCTCGACTGACTTGTCTCGTCGAACCGAATCGAATCATAGCGCAAATGGACCCTACCTTGTTATCGCCTACAGCGTTGCAAGCTCTATCTCAACCGCTTCGCATATCACCGAGGATGGCGAGGATCACTCAATTCGTTCGAGATCTCCAACACAGGTAGAGGAACGAATGCAAAAACGGACTTGACGGAAAACAACTACGCACGAACGAATACGATCTACGGAATTGACTTTATACTACCTTACGAACCGGACGACGAGCGACGAGAGGTCGGGCCTGAGTCATGGTGGACGTTTCATTTCGTCCTCTACACACCGGCCAACCCTAGCAGCCGCATAAAGATCGTATCCTCCAGCCCGATGTAGCCTACGAGCCGACTTTGTCGCACCGGTACATAGTCTCGTATTTGATTTTGAGTTGTATTGCATTCCTCTTCTTCACAAATCCAGTCCGACCGAGCTGGACGAGCAGCACCCCTCTCGAACTGCCTTATCGCCGCCTCCCCTGAAGTCCGAAATGCCTACGGAGCGTATCTTTCCACGTCTTCTCGCAGTCTATCTCGACCATGACAAAGTAAGAGGATGAACATCTCGAAACGCAATCGAAGAAGGGATCGGACTCACCCAACGATTTACGGTAAAGACTCTCTTGCCCCGCCGCAGCCTCGTTGACAGCCTCGGCGACGTCCCTCCAACTACCGAGACGGACGACCGGGACCGGCGAGATCGCGATTAGCTCACGAAATTCGATGCGGTGAAAGATGAGAATCAGAACATCGCACTTACTTCACATGCCTCTCCCCGTGCGTAAAGGTCTCTGCCCAAACAATCTCCTTTTGTTCCGCCGTCCAGGCTGGCTTGTTGGACGGTGCCGGTCCCGACATGTCGGGCATGATCATCCCAACCTCCCCCGCCTCAGTCCTCCCCTCTATATTGGCGTTGTTCCTCAAAAAGCCCGCCCAATGGGTCTCCCTCATCGCCGACTTGACCCTCGTCTTCGTCTTACTCGGTCCTAGAGGATTCGCAGCATTGACGCGCCCTGCGATGTACTCCCAGTCTGCGCCTTCGTAGCCGGTAGTGTATAGCAGGGAGACCATGGCGAACTGTTGCGCTGCTGTCCATCGAGTACGTCGAGCGGGAGAACCGGACCTGTTCCGAGTGGGCGGGGGGGTAGTCGAGGGAGGCGGCGAACCAGATGGAGATGGAGTCGGAGTACGAGAAGGGACGTAAGCGACCGAATCTTCCCTGACCGTAACGCGCTGTTTCTTGGTCGGGCTCGAAGTCACGACCAGCTCGTCATCGCTGCTGGCCCGAGGTCGTCTCTTCTTTTTGGGGGAGGCGAGGTCGTCGTCCGAATCCGAGTCTGAGAGCGCAATAGCTCGGTCGGCCGTACTACCGGTCATGTCCAGGTCGAGAGAGGCGAGGTCGCGATGAAGCCGATGCTCGACATCGACGTCGTCGCCGTCGTTGCCATTGTCGGATTGACCGCCTTCTCGACGAAAGGGACTACGGGAAGCGCCTGTTCGATCTTGTTCACCGATCGGTCGAGCGGGCGAGGGAGAGCGAGACGGTTGACGGTGCACGAATTGATGCTGGTTGAGTACGATCCCCTGATATCCTTCTGGGACCTCATATCCTATGTCTAGGTCCATCTCTCTTCCTCTGCTCACCACCCAATCTAACACCCTCTCGACGTCTCCCTCGGTCAACCACCGGGTACATCCTGCGCTTTCGATCACCTCTTGCAAAGTCAAACTCCCTCCGGCGCTGGATTCGAATCTGGATTTACGCTCTTCCAGGTGCTTGAATCCGATCTCTACCGCTTGAACAAAATCGAGGAAGCTTGGCTGAGCTACGTTGTGAAGGAGTAACTCAGGGTGTTCTCGTTCGCCATCGTTGTCAGCACGGAGAAGGTGAGAATAGGCGGTCCTGAGTTGCAAGGCGTTCCAAGAAGGGTCGATATGGAGAAAGTAGGCGGCGTTACTGGCGGGAACGAAGGGGTCGTCTAGATGTTCGATGTGTGGGATCAATAACTCTGGGCTTAGGATAGGCTGTTCGTGAGGTTCTTGTATGGAGCTAGGTCTGATAGAAGCGTAGAGTACGACTTGGCGGTCCGACATAGTACGAGTAGTTGTGACGACGTCGCCGAGTTGGTCGTTTCACATCTTGGGATATTCATTTTGCTCCAGACGGGAGGGGGTGTAATATATCTCTACGCTGTACGCTACGTAGACTGAACACAGCTGTGGCTTCTCGGTCGGTGATCGTCGTCGTACGTCGTAGATCATCAGTTGACGAACAATAACAAGTATCAACGTATCAACAAGAAGGAGAGAGAGCAAAAGGTCGCTCGCTCGGCTCAACGAGATCGGGCTGGCGAAGAGTCTCAGGTCGGACCTCGTCGCCCCTGCGATAGAGCCCAGAGCCTGATTGTACTACGGTGCTCTGCAAAGCAAATCAGACGGGAAGAAAAGACTCGACGACGAGATGGTACATCAGTCCAGGAGACGCGAGCAACAAGTTCCGGAACGAGCTTCATCGCGATGTGCACGCTCGATCGACAAGTCAGAGCCGGCATCACCTGCGGCAAGTGGATCTTGCGCGCGATTAAACCGGATCGTCGTCACTACTGCATATCTTCGCTACATCTCAAGGTTGACCATCCGTCTTCACACTGTCGATCGTTGATCGTTGATACCTTCGTGCAGCCGCAAGCAAATGTTGATCATCGATCTCTTTCACTGGTCGTCCAATGAACGACATCATCAGGGGCCGAGAAGGTACTGCGTGTCAGAGCAAGACGCCAACGTCCGCACGACACCACTTTTCCTCTTGTTGACCCTAGCTACAAAACTTTGCGAACGAGAAAAACACACCAGTCGCCCAATCGATTATCTATCATGACATAGCGCTAAACCCGGGCTGGGATATCAGGCTGGACGGATCCCACCTTCCTGTCACGTCCATGACAATCCCACATTTTACAATGAGTAGCGCGTTCACGCCGCTGTATACCGTTCCTCGACTTTTTCCTAATTTAGTCCCTGGATGCCGGTCTTTGAGCATCATCAGGAGATACTTTGGTACATATACATCCCCTCTATCTTCGAACGTCCATCGATCACACCTCCACAGACAGGTCTAGGTCAGCTGGCTGACGACACCCTTCAATCCGGTCGCTTACGATCCGTTGAGCACGAGCCCTTTCGTCGTCGGCATTACGAGCACCTGCTTCGTCCGAAGTACTAATATGTCGCAGCTAAAGACGTCTTTGGAATCGCTATCGATACCGGCCAGAGTGCGGTGATCCAGCCGACCGACGATTATTGAACTGCGAGGAGATCGTTAGGTGTGTCTAGACGAAATCCTGTTGGCTAGGCCAGAGCACGATCGTACATATGCCGTGGGGCGTGGTAACAAGTATGCTTTGATGCATTCTTCCCCGGTCTCGCCTCTGTTCATGTGTACGTCCGTCCCTCTTTGTACGGTACCTTGGGAACGGAGGCAGCGCTCGATCCGAGACGATTCATTTGCCATGATTACGAATGATGCTTCAGGTAGAAATGTGATCGATAGGTCGGGCAAATGATAGGCTATAACAAGCGATCAGATCGTGCCGCCAACATTTCTGGACCATCATACCGTCCGTATCGTGTTCAAAGTATCGGCGAGGATACTACTAGCTTACTTTACATATCGTATGGACAACCCTGATCCCGGAAGAATAATTAGGTACGTGACAGGCATCGCTACGAATCGTCACGAAACAGCGCTTCGAGGACCATCGACGGATAGCGTGGGTGATACGAGGCAAACCCGAAGGGGATAACAGGTAGGGCTTCGATGAATGGGGGCGGATGAGTTAGGGATCCTAGTACTTCGTTTGAGGTAAGAGCTTCTGAAGCCTTGCCTTGATGGCATGATACTTGGTCTGCGATTCGAAAGAAGGAGACGGGGAGAATCGATCCTCTCATGCTCTTCAGCGCGAGACAAGACATGAAACGTCAACCTGAATGAACAATTAATAATAACGGATATGCGTTTCATCAGCCGATCAGCGGAGGATTCCAGTGAACCGAGCAAGCGGGCGAGAGCTGACGTCATTTCCCTTCCCCCGGTTCCGACTCTTGTCTCTGTGTCGTCAGCAACATTCCATTCCAGCGAAGGATCGAGGGAAAGTATATAACAACCAAGCACGCTCACCTCGACGAGTACTACTCCCTTCAGTCCCGTCTACTTCATCCCATTCAATCCACCCCCAAACAACATCCAGGCAACCATGTCCAACATCCCTTCCTCCGTCCCCAAACAGTACAGGCCCGGCTTCCAGCCCAAGATGGTCGAGTCGATGCAAGACGTCAAGCCCGGTATCCAGGACGACATGACCGGTGACGCCGAGCCCGTCCTCGACATCCTCGCCGATGGACGCAAGTACAAGGGTGTCGGCAAGCTCGAGGGCAAGAACGTCGTCATCACCGGGGCCGATAGCGGGATCGGGGCTTCGTTTGCCGTCCTCGCGTGGGTGACTGCCTTTGACCGATGATCTGCCATCTTTCGCTGACGACCTGTCTCTTCACCTCCCCCATCTCGCAGCGCCTACGAAGGAGCCAACCTGCTGCTCCACCACCACGAAAAAGAAGTCAAGGACGTCGAAAACCTGACCAAGTACATCAACGAGAACTCGCCCTCTACCAAGTTTGAATTTATCGCTGGCGACCTGAGCAAGCTCTCCGAGGTGGAAAAGCTCGCCGAAAAGGCCAAGTCGTATTTCAACGGCCAGGTACACGTCTTGTTCAACAACCACGCTACGCAGCAGGAGGTGGAGAGCTTGACCGATCTGGCGGATGAGCAGTGGACGCATGTGTTTGATACCAACATGTGAGTGGGCGTCGGTGCGGAATTGTCTCAGTCGAGTGAATGCTGATGCTTGTTTTCTTGCCTTCTTGCGCGTCGGTAGCCACGCATTCTTCCGACTGACCAAGTTGCTCATGTGAGCATGTCCACCTTGATTTATCGCTCGCATCGTAGCTGACTTGAGGTGATCACGTGTGACAGTCCCATGATGCCCTGGGGAAGTTCGATCATCAACAACGCCTCCATCAACCGTAAGCCATAGCAACATCATCTCACCTCATCCCACGTCCCACTATGCTCATACTCCTTTGATCCGATCGCGTGTGTAGCCTTCGTCGGTCACCCCAAGCTGGTCGATTACACCTCGACCAAGGGAGCCATCGTCGGATTCACCAGGGCATTGTCGAACCAGCTCGTCAAAGAAAAGGGTATCCGAGTCAACTGTGTCGTGCGTACACTCGTCTCCCCGGGTCTCGTAATTACCAATTATTCACTTGGCTTACCGAATTACCTCTGTGTTCATACAATCCACAGTGCCCCGGACCCATCTTGACCCCCTTGGTCGTCGCTACCATGGGCGAAGAGTCGATGAAGACGTTTGGCGTGACCACCTCGATCGGAAGGGCCGGAGTGAGTCTGTGCCTCTTCATGTGATCACTCTCGGACGTGGATGGAACCCGAATTGATCACGATCTTCTACGTCGAAACCTTCCTTCGCTCATAGCAACCGGTCGAGATCGCTACTTGCGTCGTCTTCCTGGCCAGCTCGGACTCGAGTTATGTCACTGCGCAGATGATCCACTGCAACGGGTGAGTCCCGCTGCTCACAGGAGCGGGATTTCAGTCGCCGATCTGATCGCTGATGCGTGCGTTCGTTTGCTATGACAATAGTGGTGCTCCTTACTAAAGCCTCCACTCGGAACGGAGCGTATGGACAGACGATGCCTCGCAAACTTGTTTCGATAAGACGACTGTATCAAGGAGCCAGCGAATGCAAAAGAAACGGTAGAAATTCGTGCGATGAATGCCTCAGTAATATGAATATCGTTTGTGAAGTCGATGCGATCGAGGACCTGGTCGTGAGCGGACTGTGACTCCTCCCTTTTGGTTCCCGGGAACTCTTGAACGGCGGTGTCACTTGATCACCCGAGGGCCAGAGACTGTTCCAAGTCACAGAGTAGGCCTCAGGCCAAAAGCCAAAGCGGCCATACGGCGATGTACAAACGGTTTGTAGCGCGTAGCGCCGTCCCGTACTCTATATCGGTGGGTCGTATCGAATCGACGGTATAAGGTAGGGTATTGACTGCTACCCGGAACACGGCTGTCGCAACAGGTTGGAAGCGAATCTCGTACAAACGGACTGCGATGTGGCCCATGAAAACCCATGGCTTTACGCGATAGGAAACTCCCTCGTTATGGTCGCTTTCTCCTCTTATCGTGCACATCCTTCAGACTTGCACTTGCCCAAAGACCGCCTATATGCAGCTATCCGCTGAGCTGTTCCTTTTCAAAGAGACCAAAGTAACCGTGCCCCATCGTACGAATGAGTTGGCTAGTCCGGTCGAAAGCGTCTTCCTGAGCAAAGGTGAGACGAGGCTGTATGGAACGCACACGACATTCACAAAGGGGTGTGGTAGGTGGCAAGGCCAGGGCAAAGGAACTTACCACCTTGTATCATCGTAATCGATGCGTTCATTCCACCGCCTGGTCGGCTCTGTGGGGGGTGACGCTGTGACGGTAGTGACCCTCGTTGCTGGTTCGGAACGCATTCTAGATCTCCAGATCTCCTCGTCTCCGCTGCCATGATCAATCTCTGCTCCTGGATTGAGGATCTGGATCGGAGGTCTTGAGTGTTGGCGGACTGCTACGACCAGACGCGCCCGGCGGGGTGGAGGGATGCTGGATCTCGAATTCCCCAGGTTCCGGCAATGTCGAGCAGGTCGAAGATGAGGCAGACGAGCGATGATGCTTGATTTTCTTTAGAAGCATTAGAAGAACTGAGGATAAAAGAGAGAGTTAGGAGAAGAGGGGTTGTCGTTACCCTTAAACCCAGAGTCAAGGCGAGATGAGCAATTGAGCAAGGATTCTATATGGTTCTCTTTGCCGCCATTATTGTGTCTGCTGCTGTTGCTCGAGGTCAATCTCAATCTCTCTCTCCTCTTTGTCGGAAGCAAAACTTGGCCATATCGTGTGCGATACATGATGGTGTTCGAACTTGGCGATGTACTTTTCTGAATTGCCCATTATACCTATGGCCCGCCGGAAGCGTCACTCGCCTATACTTTCGCTTGTTAATGGTTTCGACGCGCGTATGGTCGCTTGTTTGCGTTGATTGTTTACTTTTCGCCTACTTTTCGCCTTACTAGGCTCCGGTGACCCTTATTTGCATCCGATGAGCCACGGTCAGTATCACGAAGACTCGGAATGACCAGTTACGACTAGTTTAGACTTGATTAGACTAGATGAAGCTTTGTTCATGCTTGACTTTCACGGCCAAGCTATATCAGGTCTCGCATAGCTGCTCTATCTCTAATTGCCCCCCCAAATACCATATTAAACACCTCACCTAGGCCTTTACGTCCCCTTGGAAACCATGTCCACCCACAACATCTCCGACGCCGACTTGACTCGACTCCTTCAACAGCGACTTGGAGGAGATCGTCAGCTAGTCGATCAGTGGGTCCAGCAAATCGTAGCTCCTCTTCCTCCCATGCCTGGCCGACCCGCCATGGCTTCGATTGAGCAACCTAGAGCTTCTACGGAACAACCTAGGGCTCCTTATGCTCCCATTACCCCTATAGACCAGGTCGACCAATCGGCTTCAAACAACGCCAGTCTCAGGCCCTCGCAGAGCGCTGTTGCGATTGAACGACAACATACAGGATACCCTCACCCGAGTCAAATGATCACAACCTTCCCCCCGCCCAATCCCCCTAGCGGATCAGCTACTGGCTCTACTCAACGGTTCCGGAATGGAAGTTTCCAGATGGCTACGGCTCGGGGCCTTCAGAAAAAGGCTACGGTAGCCCAAGCTAAGCCTTACCTCATTGGCAAGACTTACAATCGGGTAAGTCAGCCGGTTTTACGACTAAACAAGACTTGCAAGGTCTTGTTAACACTTTTTTGAACTTAGTTGAACCCGAGACGTGCTTGTGAAGTTGGACTGAGTTTTGTTCGTACTGACAAGTAGTTCTTGTTGATTCCAGGTTACCTATATTGGCTGTGGGTCTATCCTTCGCAGGGAGGTCATGTTATGGAACAAGGCAAAGCCGAAGGCCGGCGCTATGTTTGCCGAGGCCACAGAGACGACTGGGTACAGTCAGTTAATCGACCTGACACCCGACATGAACCCTACCGACATTGCGAAGACTGTGTTGGACAAATTTAGGGCCAAACATGGGTCTCGCTTCCTTATCAAACCCTTTTTATGGGCCAAACTGGGTCAGGGCACGACTCGTTTCCACCCCGAGACGCTTGGACGGGCCTATGAATTCACGCTTAAGGATTTACAGAAGATGTATCACAACTCTTCGTCAATGTACATCATCGAGGAAGGGTGGGAGTTCCCTGCAAACGACTCTCCCGGTTGGAGATACCAGATCACAGCCGCTCATAAGCAGGAAGGCGACATGTGGGAAGAGGATTTAGACAGCGACGACTCCGATCATCGCAATGCGTTGAGGCCTTGCTCAGGGTGTAGGCGTAAATACCCTTCGATACAGCTACCTGTCCATCAGCGCAATTGTGTGCCCTTTCGTGAGCAGGAAGAGGGGGAAGAGGACAACAAGGCCAAAACAAGTCGAAAAAAGTCCAACTTGGCTCTCAACGGAAAGGTCAAAGCCGAACCTGGTCTCAAGCTTGAGCCGACTAGCCCATCTTACACTCGTCCCCGTCCCCGGCCAAAACAGAAGTGGAAGGGTAAGGGGAAGCAAAGGGCTACCTCTGTATCCTCCTCAGGAATCTCTATCGTGAGCGTGATCGATTCAGATGATGAGCAGTCTGCTCCTGCTTTGGGAAAACTCCTCTCGAAAGTCGCCCAACATCCAGCGTTTGGCGCACGATGGCTGTCGAATCAGAAACAACGGCTTAGGTCTCACCTTGACTTGGCGAACTCGTTAGGTGGGGTTGATAGCAGTAACCCAACCTCAACTGGACGAGCCGAGTCTTCTTACGACCAGACTGAGTCAGGTTCGGGCGCAGGCCCCTTCGACGGCACCGAATCGTTCTCGTTTGAACGCTCGGCTGGAGATCAGCAATTGCTGGAGAGCATGGGACTCCCGCAGGTCGACGAGCATAGTCAGACTAGCGACCGTTTCCTTGATGAGCTGGACCCCAACTTCCCGTTCCAGTACCTCGACATGGACGCACAGGGCGCAGTCGAAGCAACCCATGATGGCAATCAGAGGACTTCAATGGAACCAGGTGAGTGGAAGTTGTGCTCGATAAGGCTCAACAATGCTGAATAACGCTTATCACCGCTATATCTCGACTCCAGGAAATGTTTCGCATGAGATTGGTCCAGGTAAGCTTTGTGCGGGGTTATTAGGACTAGACAAGATTCCAAACAGTATTTGTTCGGTTGAGATCGGGGTTACTGATCTTGCTTCAATATGATCTTCCGTAGCAAACGTGGACAACAACGCCTGTCCTGCTGAGGAGACTGTATCTTCTGAAGCGTCAAAGGAACTTGACCCTTCTACCTCTACTGCTGCTGCTGCCACTTCTACCTTGCAGCAAAGGTCCGGAGGCGGTCGCAAGAGGAAGCACGAGGCAATGAACTCTACAGATCTTCCCGAGAGCTCAGCAGCCGCAAGGACACGTGCTGCAAAGGCTTTGGAGCAACAACAAGCAGTGGGCAAAGGGCAACGAAGGAAAAGGCTGCCGGCCAAGCTTCAATAGGTGCTCAAACTGATGTAAGTCTTTCTCTCACCTGCCTGTTAAACTCTGTTACACTCGACACGACTTGTTAACACAAATTTAGTCTTTTTGTTGCTGAATTGGGCGCAATAAGTCTTTGCAACACGGAGAAGAGTTTGATCGCTTGGTGCAAGGCTTATTCGAGATATTCTTCGCATAAAAAGATACAAACAGCGCAATACGAGACTGTCCTAGATACATTTACATTTACATATCGAAAGAAGAAAGAATCACGACGAAGGAGCCCCAAATCCCGTACCGAAAGGCCTCGAAGCCCATCCCGCTCGAGTCCTGGTGGGAGTGGCCGGCAAAGCTGTCTCCCGTTCAGCCTTGACCTTGGTAACGCCCTGCTCGAGCTCGCGCCCCAGTCCGGTCAAAGCGGCACCGTCGAGATGGGTGATGATCTCGTTGGCCTCAGCAAGGAGCGCCGAAGCCTTTGGGAACTTCTCGGCGAGACCGTTCCAGTCCTCCTGGCCTTCGTCAGACTTCCCGAGGTCCGCCCACTCCTGCTGAACCTTCTCCAACCACGCACCGGCCGCTTGGACTTTTTTGGCCACATCGTGCGTAGTCTGCTCGAACGCTAGGGTGGCGGCGGCGGGAGGAGCGAGAGGGCGAGTCGGTGATCCGATGCCACCAAAGACGGGAAAGCGAGGCGGGGTAGAGGCCCTGGCAGCAAGGGCGGCGGCGGCGGCGGTGTTCTTCTCGTGCTCAGCGAGAGGTGCAAGAGCACCGGCTTTGTTGGCGCCGCGGCAATCGGCGTTCCTCCCTTTCCACTTGCAGCACAAGCAGCCCTTATCGTCGCCGAAGATGCACCTCGAGAACTGATCGTCGAAGTGCTGGGTCTCCTTGTTGCTCTTGAGGTCCCGACCCCCTTTGCGGCATGACACGCATCGGTTCTCCCCAAGGCACTCGACGAGAGACGTGGCATGCTTCTTCAGCATGTGTCGGCACACCTGATAGTTGAAAGAGCTCAATTAGTCTTTGTTCGTCTAATCGAGCGTTATCAAGTCTAAACAAGCCCAACTTACTTGGACTTTGTCCCACTTGTACGTCGTAAGGCCTTTGCCTTCGCCGTCGATGATGGTTTTGCCATCTTTAGAGACCGTCTAAAGAAGCGACGAACAAAGAAGCTATGAGTCAGTAATACAGATTGGTAGTTGTAGGCGAAGGGCTACTTACACATCCAGCAATCTGCACCACGCCATCCTTGGCCTTCTCCTTGTCCCCCGAAGTCGAGGCCGTCACCTCGGGGGAAACCGCTTTCTTGTCCTGTGAACGCAAACAATCAGAGGTAAGTAAGAGTCAAGCAGAGTCGAGTGTAAGTGGGCGTAGTTGGTGTATTTGAGCGTGACTAGGCCTGAATACTTACCACGGTCGTCTTCGTGGCCTTCGCGGTGACGATTCGCGTCGCCCTAGACGCCTACATCACCTCCTATCTCTCCTCATCTGTACTACTATAGCTCATGTCTAGTCGATCCATCATCGCGTACCGTTCTCATGGCGACGCATAGCTGTTCAGCTGCTCTACTCTGAACTAGACGTTTCATCCAAAAACCAGCCGGATCGGGTGGATATTGATCGAGTTATCGCCTGAAGAAAATTTTCGCCGGTCGACCGGGTGGGTGGCGAATACCTTTAGTGCCAGTTCCAGCTCCAGTACCTAGTTCCTGAACCCAGCAATACCCTTAGATCCAAGTGCTCGATACCCCAGCACCCTAGTTCATGCCTACAGTGACTAGGAAGCAACAAAGGACCCTCGACAACGACGCCGAAGCGAATCGATCAGCTTTCCTGAACCTCCCTTTCGACTCAACTCACGATCAACAGCGAACTCGACGACCGATCACAACCATGGCCGGCAGTCTACCGACCTTCGACGGGTCTGAAAGTAAGGCCAAGGCCTTCTTGAACGACTTCGAGATTGCCATGTTGGATAGGGATGTGGATACCGACGACAAGAAAGCCAAATATTTCGTCCGCTGCATGGTGCCCGAGACTCGAGGAGAACGATGGCTCGAAAGCCTTACCGCTGGCGTTACCGCCTCCTACAAACTACTCGAGGCCAAGTTCAAAGAGTCGTTCCTCGACAAAGGGAACGATACCTTGAAATTGGAAGCACTTCAAACGATGATGAAGACACGCCTCAGGGATAGTGACGTAGGGAAGGACGACAGATCCGGATACCCACTACAGATCAAGTATTGCGACGAGATGACTAGGCTCGCTGGTCGAGTACCGGCCACCACCCACGACTCGACCAAGTACGCGGCGGTCATCGGGAACGTAGGAGGAGGGTTGCAGAAGATCATCAGAGAGAGCGGGAGGGCAGCGACCTTCGACGCTTGCTTGGATACAATTCGAAATCTGTCGGACTGGCAAATCAAGGAGATTCAACACTACGCTCTGATCGAGAACCTTGCAGCCATCAATGCAAAGGACCGATACGCCCGCTACGCTCTACCCCCCTCTCCAGCATCTACCGTCCAGTCCCCACCTCTCGAACAAACTCAGCTCAGCCCTCAACGAAGTCCTTTGGCCGGCGGTATCCGAGAGTATTGGCAGACCGATACTCGATACATGCAGATCACCCCGGCTCATCAGGCTAAGTTAGACGAATGGGAAGCTAGATGGGGACAGTCTGAGATCACCGCGGACTGCAACTTACCGCTTACACCTGGTACCGAACCCGCGGGCACGAAAGAGTGCTACAAATGCGGGTCGAAACGTCCTGCTCCCCACGTCGGCCGCGAATGTCCGAATCCGTGGGTCAATCCGAAAGAACAGACCTATCGATTCAAGGTATCCGAGAAAAAGAGATTGCAAGCCGACAGCTACCAGACCCAAGGCGGTGGTTATCGAGGGAACAACTACCGACCTTACAACCAGCAAGAAGGGTACGGATCTGGCGCCAATAGCCATCCTGTCGGGAACCGAGCGATCGCAGTCAATGCATTGATGTTCGATCGTTTCGGAGATGATCACGGACGAGACGCGGAAGGCGATGAAGGTGAGGGTCTTTCCTGGATGTTGATGCAGGGAAACGGCCGAGGACTGGGCCAGTAGAGGGCGACCCAGTCCAATCACCTTCCGACCCTCAATCATCAGAGCAGTCGGAGCGAAAGGAGGAAGAGCGAGAAGTATACAATATTGGAGCGGCGCCAAGCCCGTCCTTGGAGGCGAGAGCGACAGCGACAGCGCGAGTAGGCCGAACAATCTATTCGGCTGGAGTAGCGAGAAGACAGGAAAATGAAACAAGCAATACACAGATCACGGAGGTCACAGACGTCTACGCAGAGGGGGAGGTGAACCCACCGTTCGTCGTCCCACACACATTAGAGACGAACGGCTACTCGTTCTCAGCGGGTAAAAGAGGATTCATGGATAGTATGGCTCTCGTGTCCGCCATCGATTTGACGTTCTATGGAAAGCACCGGGCCGGCATAGGACCACTGCTCCCGAGTCCGATCATGCTCCGAATGGCGGATGGTTCGAAGAAAAGGAGCGCCGGCCGAGTTAAACTGAACTTCGTTTTGAATTACGAGGGAGGTTGCATCAAGGCCCCGTTTACCCTCGAAGTCGTGGAATCGAACGAGAGTTGGGACATCCTGTTCGGTTTGCCACTCCTTACGCAGATGGAAGCGGTCCTAGACTTCGGAAAACGAGAACTTCGAGTTCGCGGAAACGGCGTGGAAAGATCTTTCTCTGCGTACAAGGAGGTCGAGGTTCCGTCTGGTCACTTAGACCAAGCCTTATGGACCGCGTTCACGGAGGAAGAAGATATCGATGGCCATCTGCCAGACTTGGAAGCGAATCGAAACACGACTGAGGATCGGGCGGCGGCGATATTGAAGAAAATCGAGATCGGTACGGAGCTAACCCCGGATCAACGAAAACGGGTAGAGGAGTTCGTGAAAACGCACCACGAAGCCTGGGCCCTCTCGTTGAGCGAACTAGAGGAGACGACGGTAGGACATGCCAAATTGATCGTGAACGACAACATCCCTTTACCGCTAGCGTCAACCCAGAGACTCGCACATACAGAGCTCGAAGCGGCTTGTGCCTACGTTGACGCTCTTCTGGACGCGAAGCTCATCAGGTCAGTCGAGCCCTGGGAAGTCAAGTGCGTATCCAACGTGATCATGGTGCCGAAGAAACAAGCGGAAGCCAAAGATGAAAAAACGGTTCGACGGGAGTTAGAACAAGCGATTTCCGAGGGATCGAACGGTGATCATCATCTTCGAGAACCAAACGCAGGCGTAGCGAAAGAAACGGGATCGACTCAAGGGGACGCCACGAAACTGTTTAGGATGGTATTTAACTTCCGTCCTTTGAATCGAGCGACCACCACAGCCACGTATCTTCCCGGAAATATGCACGACCTCATTGCGAAAACAAGTGGAAAGAAATGGATTTCGGTACTCGACCAACTGGGAGCGTTCTACTCCTTCCCTTTAGCGCCAGAATCTCAACTTTACACTTGTTTCTTCATTCCCGGTCGCGGACATTTCTGCCATACTCGAATGGCGCAAGGTTTGAGTGGCTCCCCGGCTACTATGCAAGCGGGAGCGGCTCGGGCCTATTCGGGTTTACTAGGCCGAGTAGCGGAAATCTGGATGGACGACTTATTCTCCAGTTCCGATTCGTTCGAAGAACACTTGAAAACGTTGGTTGAATTAGCTAAACGAGCTATTCAATACCGATTACGCTGGAGCCCCACAAAGACGAAGCTCTTTCAGACGAAGACGAAGATAGGCGGTCAGATAGTCAGTGCGGCAGGAGTCGAAGCTGATCCTGAGAGAGTCAGCGCAATTCGACAAATCGAGATCCCGAGAACAGCTTTGCAGGCGTTGTCCTTCGTTAACAAAGCAGCACACTTTCGACGCAATATCCCGAATTTCTCGGCCATCGCGGGACCGCTAACTGACGTCACCAGGAGAGTCTCCTCAGGGACCAAGGACATACGAGGCGGTCTGAAAAGAGCTTTGGAAGAAACGCAAGTCGAATGGAACGACGAGTTACAGAGGTCATTCGATGCAATCAAAGACGCCCTCTGCAACATGGTCATGAACACGGCGCCTATCTTTGACGGAGAACACCCGTTCCATGTAGCAGTCGACGCTTGCGCAGACGGTTTCGGAGCCCACCTATACCAATTGGTCGGTTCGGAAATCAGGACAATCGAGTTTGCTTCGAAGAGGACTTCCGAGCGTGAAAGCTGCTCCCACTCCTTCTCGCTCGAGCTGAAAGCGGTGAAGTGGGCGCTTGAGCGCTTCAAGAATATCATATGGGGACAAAACACCGTCCTCCATACTGATTGCCAGGCTGTAAAGAACTTATTGAACAACGATAAGCCGTCTTTTCAGCAGTCTGGGTGGAAGGACGCTATTCTTCAAAGCGGAGCGAATTTGACGTTCGTACATCGAGCCGGATCAGAGAACGGCGTGGCCGACTATCTTAGTAGGAACGCGTCGGGGCCGGTGCCAGCGGAAAGTATCGGGATCGAAGTAGGGTACAAAGGTATCCCGAACGATCTTTACTGGCTAGATCGCGAGAAGCCGGAAGAGGAAGAGTTGCGAAATAGGTTCAAAAACGACGGTCTTTACCCAGTCGTTTGTTACCTCACGAAGCTTATCAACAGCGACGCTGACGGAGTCGTGAAGAAAGCAGCCTTATACTGGGTCAGAGACGGCAAACTCTGGACCCGTCATAAGGGGCTGCACCATGAAATCGAGGTGATCCCGGTCAAGGACGGATTACTAGCGGCGCAAAAGGCACACGATGAAACGGGACACTTCGGGGTCGACATTACGGTTCGGAACCTGCAGCGCTCGACGACGTGGTCTACCATCCGAAAAGACGTAGCCCAAATCGTCGAAACATGCGAGGTTTGCATGAAATTCGGTCAACGCATGAGGAACTCCTTGATGCGAGATACGCAGAGGTACGCTCCTTTCGACCTGATGGCGATCGATTACATGTTCCTCCCGAAGACATCGGACGGAATGAAGATCGTACTCCTCGCGGTCGACTCGTACACCAAATTCATCTTCGGATGGGCGTTCAACCGAGATCCGTCGTCGGAGACTTGCCTCATAGCCCTCAAGGAGCTTCAACAACATTACGTATTACCAACCGAGTTGGTATGCGACAATCAATTCATGACAAGCCGGATTCAAAAGGAACTGAGCGGATTAGTCCACATGACACCGGCAGCGCCGTTCGCCCATGTGCCGACTGCGGAGAACGCGAATCATTTGGTGCTAGACCGCCTGCGTCGCATCTGTCGAGTCAGCCTCGACGGGATCCTAGACGATCTAGAGGCCTTCGAGAACTGGCCCAACAAGTTACAGGAGGCGATCAGTACCCTGAACGATCGCAAGTTGGACGCTCTTGGAGGCTATTCGCCGAGGGAACTGCTGTTCGGAAAAATCGACAATCGTCCCGTTCCTTCCGACCTCACCGCGCATATACAGCATACAGACAACATGCGGATGGAGGCGACCGAATCCCGAGATGACAGCATCAACAAACGACAGCGACCCGACAAACGTCCCATACAGCCGTTCTACGTCGGGCAGCTAGTCCAAATTTACGACCCCAGAAAAGACGATACGCATGAATCAGTACGGAAGTTGAAGACGAAGTGGTCAGGCCCTTATAGGGTGATCGAGTTACAGCGAGGGAGTGCTAGAATTAGCACTCCAGACGGGGACCCGGCGGGGCGTGTTGGTCTAGACCGCATGCGACCGTGGCGAGGAGTGCTGCAATTGCAGAGAGATGAAGTTAGTAACATTTAGCATTTGACCGAACTTAGTAGCATCGATACGAAAAGAACACACCGGAAGAAAACGAAAAAAAAAAAAAAAAAAAAAGAAAAGACGAAAGGGTAACGGTGGCCCTACAAGACATAGGGTGGGAGTGACGATTCGCGTCGCCCTAGACGCCTACATCACCTCCTATCTCTCCTCATCTGTACTACTATAGCTCATGTCTAGTCGATCCATCATCGCGTACCGTTCTCAGCGGCCTCCTCCTATAGTCGAGAAGATCAACAACGCACTCGCAATCAGATTGACAAGTAAACAGTATAAAGGAAACATGTAAGAACATACCATCTCCTCCCTCGCCTTCGCGATCGCCTCGTCCGACTCCAACTTCTCCTTCTCCTCCTTCTCCTTCTCCGCCTTCTCCTCCTTCTCCCTCTGCTTCCTCTCGCCCTCCAACACCTTCTCAGCCCCCGCTCGGATGAGCTCTCGGAGCTCACTCATCGTCAACGTCGTTGTCTATGAAACCCCAAAGGACGTTGGGTGAGTTTATTGTCGACTAAAAGAGTCTACGTTCGACTAGAAAGGACTTTACTTGACTCAAATAGACTTACGGGCTCGGCCTGGACCTCCTCCTCCTCCTCCACCACCTCCTCGTCAACATCGACGTCCATGTCGTCCGGCCCCTTCACCTCCTGCCCCAACTCTTTCCCCTTCCCCTTTTCCCCCACGGCCTTGGGCAAAAACTTCCCTCCCGGACCCCTCGCCAGCTGCTTCTTCGCAACCGTTCTCTTCCCCGGCTGCTTCGAACCCTTGTTCGGCCCGGGTCCGGTCTTCTTGGTGCCGGAACTCGAGCTCGAGCCGGCGGGAGGAGGTTTGGGCAGGCCCAACTCGTTCTTGTCTCCCCGGGGCCGGAGAGCTCCTCGACGTTCTTCACGGCGGTCTACAATACAGAAACGGTATCGAATCAGACTAAAAGACTCTTTTCCAGGCGTCGTAGAGCGAGGAAGAGCTGGAAAAAGACTAAACAAAACTCAAAGAGACTCACCATGAGCGTCGAGGTCCTCCTTCCACTTCGCAAGCACCTCTTCCGAGGCGTCGTGTCCCGGGAATTCGGGGCTCTTGGAGATTCGGTCGGAAGATTCAGACATGTTGATTGGAGGGGGTAGTAACGATGAGTTTAGAGTAGTAGGTTTACGGGAGTTGAGCGATGACAATATGTTTGAAAGGAATGAATTTGATAGAAGAACTCGAAGAAGTTACAAACGATCAAAATAGGGCGAGAGATATAGCAAATCTCGCCCTGCCTACCAGCCAAGCAGTCGTACGAGGAATTTTATTGTTGTTTGTTGTTGTTTGTCGACAACAATAGGCCAAAGGAGGGTTTAAGCCAGTCGAAAGGATGGTTGACCACTTGAAACAAGAGCAACAAGGCGTAAGCGAGGCTCAGCGGATGCAGAGGAGGCTTGTGGTTTCTCACGCGTGCTTGACATAGCATCTCTACGGCTCAAGAGTTCCACGCAAGTCAAGATCTTGCAAGGTGTTGTAAACGTACTCGCGTACAGCCAGATAATGAGCCACAGCTTGGCAGAGATTATCGAACGCTTGTACAGGATAGTGATTGACGAGTTCCTGTTTGAATTCCTCTGTGACCAAGACGTCCGGGACGTGGTCCATGTAGCGAGGGACGATAACAAATGGATCGCGATGACGAGGTTGACGCAGCTGGTCCTGCACTGGAGCCGTTGCCTCCATACGTAAAGCGTTGACCCATCCTTGATTATCCCTTGCGTGTTCGCCTGGGGCGTTGTTGTCAAACTGTGTGCCATCAATGTTGTGTCGAGTCTCGGGAAACAAGTCCAAGTCGTATCCGTTGCTAGTCGCGTCAAGCAAGCCTTTCAAAGTCCAATATGAACCAGTTCAGTCACGTTTCGACTTATCAAGACTAATCAAATGATCACTCACCTCGATACCACATCTGGACAGGACTAAGCCCTCTTAACCCAGGATTCGACATACCGTGATGGTTCCATGCGTCAACATAGTGTCCTAGCACGAAGTTCAGGTACGGCATGAACACATAGTGAAGACAGTAAATGTCTACCGCGTTGTTCCGATCCAGATCGTCTTGCGACTCCAACTCCATGAACGCCCTTGTGAACTTCTGGGTGACAGACTCTCCAACTTGTCTCCACTGCCTCTCAATCCGCACGTTGCGGGTCGAAGGGCCTTGCATAAACGAACCACGATTCGATCCTGTTAACAAGTGCGATTGGACGGATCGAAGTCACAATGAGTGAATATACGTCTCGTTGAGTGTAAAAAAGTGTAAACGAGACTCGATGAGCCAGACTGACCTCTTACTTGGTTCATCAGGTCCCGAACCCCGAGATTTTCCCCCCCATAGTCTGCTCTAACTCTTGACGGCCATCCCCACTCATGAGTAGCACGCAGAAAGCTCGCATCAACCGTATCAGAATGATTGTTGTCGGAAGCTTGCATATAGACGATAAGTCGGGATTTGCCGTCTACGCAGCCATGAATGACGAACTTCCAGTTGATGAGTTTATGCTGGCCGTCCATGTGCCATAGAGAATTGATGAAGGGGACATCGTAGTCGCGTCTGTGCAGGACCTGCGCTCGCCTCAGCATGTTCCCTTGTGGGTCATACGTCTGCATGACATCTCTCAACTGTCGTCGGGTAACTTTGACTCCTTGTGCCGTGAGGAGACCCATAACAAGACGTTCTCCGGTATTGTTGGAGTCGACAGTTGTTAGGATATTGCCGACAAGCTTTGTAGAACAAATTCAAGTCAAATCAGCTTATGTCAACGATAACGAAAGTTCTTTAGCCTAAGACATGCTTTTAACAGTCTTTAGATGTCTTTTCAAGTCTATTCAAGTCTTGTCGTGTCTTGAAAAGTCTTGTTCGGTCTCGAACGCTCTTGCACTTACAGCTTCAAGACGATCTTGGGGTACCAAGTGTTTCTCCCGACGCTTCTGCAAGCCCAATTCCTTCCTTCGCCTAGTGATCGTGCTTCTCGAGGTGCCAAGTAGTCGAGCGATGTCTTTGTCGTGGAAGCCAAGGTTGGTATACAGTACGAGTTGTTCTGCGGGGATTGAGACGGTAGGGCGGCCGCCCTCTAGTGACCTTGTCAAGTTGGGAGCGACGATGGCTGGAGCATCAGTCAAGGATCTTTGATAAGCACAGAGACGATCTTGGAATCCAATGACGGCAAGAATGTGCTCGCGGTAAGCTTGATGAGGGATACGGTGCTTGACAACGATTCGTAGAAAGTGTGCGAGGTCGTCTAGAGCGTTAAGCAGGGTTGGTAGGAGCAGGGGATCCCGTTGATTGAGCTCCTGATCGAGGTAAAGCCGTATCGGCACGAATATTTGGGCAACGTGGGCAGAAACTAGAACAATATGACCAGTGGACTCCATTGTAAGCTGATTCGAGTGAATTGCAACTCATGATTGGGATGTGAAAGGACATGGTCGCGTATACGTGACTACATGGTCCCTTTATAGTACAGCCGAGACTGATCGAGTCGATTGTAGGGTGACCTAGACTGGGCTCGTAAAGGCGAGAAGTGAAAGGCGTAGTTAAGTGTTGTAAAGGCGAAATTGAGTCTAGATACGCGCAATCGAGTCTTGATACGCGTAAACGTGGTAGCATACAATTATGCATTTGACGCTTATGGCGCCCCATATATACCATGGTATACGGTGATCGCCTGACAGTTCCCTCACGATATATCCAGACATACGATAACAAGCTACAACATCACTATAGACACGAAATACATCATGACCGCCCGGCTGGACGACGAGCCTATCCTGTCACCACTCGACACACTCGACCTAACCCACGCCTTTCGGATCAGACGTCTCGTCTCGTTACATCAACTCGGACTGGACACAGAATCCGCTTTAGATCGATCTTTCCGCTACATCAACATACCCTCGGTACTACAACCTCTGATAGAGACGGTCCAGGCGCTCGAAGACGACCTGATCGCGTTCATACACGCTCGCGGTGGGGACATGCGTACGGACTATTATCTGCAAGCCAAGACGTTTAGCATGAACGACCTCGTCGGGTCCGAGCTTAGGGGGTGGGAACGCCAGGGGAGTCCCGAAAGTCAGATCGAGGATTTGAGAGGGGTTTTGATGGAGGTTATACGGATGATGAGGAGGCAGAGAGCGTTGGTCGCCTTGTATGATCGACAAGGAGCTTCACTGAGGGTGGCGATGGACGCTCTGCCCTATGGTACCGCCAACGCACGGTGAACAGAGTCAACGAGTCTTGAGCGTGAGTCGTCTTTACACTACCGGCGAGCAATCTGAATGTTTTGTGAGCATCATGGAGCTGACCGTCTTGCGATTAGCTTCGTGTCAAGCTGTCTCGAAAGCCGCCCAAAGGCTTATTGCGGTAACGCTAGCATACCTTCCCACATCTCCCAGAGCGTTCATAGCAGGTATAGTCAAATACTTGCTCTTCGTCGTATATATCCGACTAATACGAGACATTTCTTCGCCCTCACCCAGGCCTGATTATGATTCAGTTCCTTGACCTCCATGAACGACGGCCCGAGATGCTTTCCTTCAGTAGTGTTACCACCAACTAACACCTTTGTCACGATCCCCAATGGACCAGCCGTTCTTCAGGTCAGGCTTACTCTTGCATATGGCGACCACGTCATCGCTTTCGTTGTACATACCAAATTCATTCATATAGTGCAAGTACTATAGTACAAGGATCGTGAAACCGTATCTCGCCGTATCGCATGCGATCGATGATGGTCACACGCCTCACGCGATGCGTTGATCCGCCGAGTCAACCGACCTCGACCTCGACCGTCGTCGAACGACATCAAGGCAGTCTCTATGATAATCTAGTAATTCAAACACAACCTACAGTCTGGGTGCATCCGACTTGTGCTCAATCCCGCTCAAGATCTGCTCTTATCCGCCATGTCTTCGATAAAGCTGCAACAGCTCAACCACCCCAACGGCAACGAACTGGCAGACCCGGAAGTTCACCCCCGACAACCTCAAGATGACGACGACGAGATCCCGACGGAAACCCAAACCCAGGAACTACTCCCTGTTGATCGAGGCTACCACGCATGGTCGTTCTTGGCCGCAGCTACGGTCATCGAAGCGCTCGTATGGGGGTTCCCATTCTCGGTCGGGGTCTTGCATGAATACTGGACGGGCGTCAAGTTCAAGGATCGAGGGCAGGAAGGTATTCTGACGACTGCAGCTACTTTGTGAGTAGATCTCAGGGATTTCAGGAGATGGGAGGAACTAGAACTGAGATCCGTTAAGCACACAGACAATCGGGTCTGATGTACATGGCTGCCATCGCACAAGGACCGTAAGTCTACGTGTCCGCTCGCAACCAGTCACTTTCCTACGACTGAAGACGGCTCGCCTTTGCTACTCTCAGTATACTGCAATCATTCCCGCAGCATCGACTACGATTACAAGCGTTCGGCCTCGTATGTGGAGTAGGAAGCCTCGTGGGGAGTGCGTTCGTAACCGAGGCGAGTCCGACATCGAAGAGAAGCTCCGTCTGGATCGATGCTGATCCGAGATGTACACTCTTGTTCGTCCAGCCTTGGCACCTACTGTTGACGATGGGAGCTCTTTACCCCATCAGCGGGTGTAAGTCCAGGCCAGGACACCTTCAACGATGGGCGATAAGCTGATCAACAGCCTTACCGCTCGCCCCAGTTTTTTACTTGCCAGCAGCTACTCTGATCTTTGAGTGGTTCGTCGAAAAGCGAGGCATGGCATCGGGGATCATGTATTCCGGTAAGTTAGGTCATCTTCCGTTTCCGTGAAGCCAGTGCGATTTGCCGGAGTCTGACCGCACGATTCCTTCTTGGGTGTCTCGTTTCATACAGGTACCGGTGTGGGGGGTTTCGTCTTTCCTTTCGTGATGAGCGGATTGATCGACCGGTTTGGCTACAAGGCTGGGATGTGCGGTGTCGTGAGTGAAGAGGAATCGGGAAAGGGCCGATTGCCAGACAGGCTCAATGTAGTCGACGCTGATGCATCAAGCGTCTTTGTAGGCCGGAGGGTACGCCGTTATGGGTGGGATAGCCCTTGCCTTTATCAAGCCTCGAGTGCCCATCGCAGCGTCGGGGAGTGAAAACATACGACACACCTCTAGACGAGCTCGTAGTGCGACGGGCCTGCTCACTCGCTGGAAGGATACGCTTCTTGGGCGAGGATCAGTCAGTCTGGTGTTCCTGCAGAGGACGACGTTTTACGCGTTCGTCGGGAATATCCTCTTGAGCTCGTTGTCCAACTTTTTGCCTGCGGTGTACATTCCGAGTGAGTTGGATGTCTGACAACCTTGTGTTTGGCTCGACGCTCAAACAAATCATGGATGATAGGCTACGCAAGCGATCTCGGGATTTCGAAACCGAACGGTACGATCCTGTTGGCGATCATGAACGGTGAGCTGGCCAACAATTGCGAATGTAATTGGAGCTCTCGCCCTCTGACAAGCAACCGCACATCCTATCCCACAGCGGCTTCCGTGCCAGGTCTCTTGATGTTGGGCTACCTGTCCGACAAGATCCCGCTGCGTATCGTCATCTCGCTCTCGTGTTTCGGGTCGGCCCTGTCGTGCATCCTCTTGTGGGGATTTGCGACCAACGCCGGGGTGCTCGTGGCCTTTGTCGTCCTCTTTGGCCTCTTGGGGCTCAGCTTTTCCGCCCTATGGACCAAGTTGATTACCGTCATCGCTCGTGAGTCTCGATTCGGGGATGTACAGTTTGCGATATCCAGCAGAGGCTGATTTTTGGCGGGTACCGCGGGGTTGACAAGGCGACGATCCGACGTTACCACCTCTGTTGTTCTCGATCTTTGCGTTTGCTCGTGGGATCGGTAACGTGACCTCGGGTGAGTACAATACAGGCGGATGTTGCTCTTGAGCACAGTAAGAAGGCTGACTCGAATTGGAACTGGCCCCACGTCACGAAAGGTCCTATCTCGTCGGCTCTCCTCAACTACAGCTCGATGAACGGTTCAGTGGGTGGTTATGGACAACACAATTACGTACGTTCCGAAAGACTCGAGGGATACATCCCATCCCGGGATCACGATTCATCGCTGATCGCTGATAGCCTTTTCCGCGATTCGCAGGGACCTTTGCTAGTCTATACAGGCGCGATGATGGTATTGGGTGGATTCTGTGGGATCACGTATCGCTCTTGAACACGGTCCTTCCTCCATGCGGTCGCTGCAAGTTAGCTGTACTTCTACCTCGTCAGTCTGGTCGCGGAATTGTCTGGATGATGAAGTGGAATACCGCAGAGCGGCAGATGATGATGCCTCGTACATGTCGTCGTACCGATTGTATCGCCTACAGTGGCTTGAGAGTGAATCGGTGCTTGTCTGGCTGGTCCGATCCGGATGCTTTATCCTCTAGGTCGTTCCCTAGAGCTAGCAAGTCTTTGATTAGTGACGGCACCGTTGTGGCACAGACTAAAATAAAACATTGCCGATAGCCTCTTGTGAAGCCCCAATCTCGATTATAGGACCTCCCTCTGAGAGAAACTTGCTCCTGTACCCCAAATATGGCGCGCCTTTTGAATTTATACTATTTGAAACACATCGTGAAGCGTATCGGAGAGAAGCATGAGCGAGTCGACATGTTAGAGTACCTCTTGAGTATTTGACACCTGAGAAGAAGAGGGGTCACAGGATGGGTGAACCTGAATGGTGCGACCTCAGATCCCTTGTGCTTGAGTACGATTTCTGGATCGGAGGCAAACTTCAAAGGAGAGCGGTTTCACATGCTGCGGTTTGACATCGCTACAAAATCCAGAGCAAGCCCTCTTACGAGGGACCTTCTTCGGGTAGGGACAGGCCCAGCAAGAACAGACGTAAAAACAGCTAATCGACTAACAAGCTGATCCCGTTGTTCAGGTGAAATCGAGCTGATCCCGGTAGCCTACAAGCGTCTTTGCGCCAGAGGCGAGGTCAAGCAACATTTGAGAAACAGCATCGGGGTGTCACGAGCCCTTACCGTCATCATCATGCCCGGCCGGAAAAACCAATCCTAACAAGTCATGTACATCTATAAGGATATACGAACATGTGGGTGGACGACATTCGGTGGTCAGGCCTAGCAATTCACCAAGAACTTGTCGCCCGGAACATGTCCTCGATCGGGCGGCGCACAGCAACGTCGATGTTATAACGAGTTGTAATATGTGCGGTACATTGCGAGGGGGGCAAGGCCCTTTGGGGCCAGGGTGCTCGAGATCATTATCATTATTATTGTTACTATGACTGAACTACAGGTTCGAAGATTCCGGACCGACGTCGCATTGAAAAGCAAACGAGACCACATGCCCGCGATCGGCTTGCCAAGAGACTTTGCCTACGATCTGTTCTGTACGCCGAGCGATCTCTTCCAACTTGATCACCATGAGAAGTTGATATAGACCTTGGTCTCCTCCCACCGGGCGTAAAACTCGGGGACCTGGTCGATCGAGATCTCGCTCCCTGATAACAGGGCCGAGGGATGAGCGACCCCGCTGGGGCGATCAAGTTGACCAGGGAAGGCCCGGCGGCTCGGGCGTCGAGCAAGCCGCCTGGCATGACGAGTCGGTTAGTGAAATACGTCTGTGCGTCGAATTCAAAGTCTCTGGAGACCTCGGCGATCCGGGGGTTCGAAAGTCCTTGGGGCGGCATGATGTAGACGCCGCCGATCCCGATACCTCCGTCCAACTGGGAGACGGCGATCATCTGACGCATGACGATATTGCTATCCACGGTAAGATTGGCGGTGAGCGCTTCGAGCTTCTAGCCCGACGCAATCGACCAGCGCGTGTGATCCCTCTGGGGTTCGGCGGCGAGGAGCGTCTCGACGACGTCTTGGGGTGACAAAGTTGACGGGGGACCGCGCCGATAGAGGCCGCTCGGTCGGGTCGCTCCTGAACGTGATCGACGACGTAGATCCGACCGGCACCTCGCAACCTGGCGGAATAACCAATAGACCCACGGGTCCAGCTCCCCAGATGGCGATGTTGTCCCCAGGTTGGAACCCGGACCGATCGATGCTCTGCCAAGCGGTCGGCCATACGTCCGAGGCCAAGAGGTAGTCGCGTTCCAACTCGGGCGTCAAGGTCTCGTTGGTCAGTGAGATACGGATCAGGTTGGTATCGGCAACTTGCCGGCGAGCGTATTCGCCTGTGTTGTGCGAGAGAGACGGAGGACACGCTTACAGTCAAGTCAGTACAGTCGAGCAGAAAGGACGGAGATATTCTGGACGCTACGCCCCACTCACCTTGAATTTGAAGGCCAAAGAGAAAATCTTCGGCTCCGGGACATGCAGCAAAGTATCCGTTGGAAAGCCGAGGACGGGATGATTCACATGATCCCCCGACTCGAACGTTCGTCACGCTTAAGGGCAGACCCGATCTCGCTGACCATCCCGACCGCTTCGTGCCCCACGGGGCCTTCCGCTGGGAAGGGAACCTTGATAGTTGTGCATGCAGGTCGGAACCGCAGATGGCGGCCCGGGTGTTCCGGACGATGGCGTCCTTGGGCGAGGTGATGTTGGGTCGGGTGACGTTCAGTACTTGAACATCGTAAGGTGTACCGGTCCAGTGCACTTGGGACATGTAGTGTGCCCGGGCTAGAGCGACCATGGCGAACAGCGTCGCAAAGTGAGAGAGTAGCAGCATGATGTGTCGGATACCTGTGATCGCGCCTCCGGGTCAGGCGAGGTGTACATGTGTGCAAGACATGGTCGGATCCCTGGCGGTGTCCTTTGGAGAGACTCGGGAGTGACTGGCGTTATATAAGGCCAAGATCTCGAGCGATCGAGCTGTCTTTGTGGATGTTGGGGCTAGGTCGTGCCAAGCTTTTGATTGCGAATGCGACAGAAGTCATACGAGTTTAGCAAAAGTAGCGAATCGTCAAGTAGCAAGTAGCAAGTAGCTTAGGTTGAGGCTCGATAGTAGAGGCTCACACTACTACTGTCGGGGGGAATCGTATCGTCCAGAAGTATGTATGTGTCGGTGTCTTTCGGTCACCAGGCTGATGATGTCGACGGCGATGATAATCGATGGCAGCCGCAATGAAATGAATGAATTGGTGGCGGTGGGTTAGGCTTTGGTCCTGCAGTGGAGGGTCGAGGTCGAAATCGATTGGAGGTCGGGAAAGAGTCACGATATGACGATAAGACGCCCTAGACAGAGAGACGGAGAGAGAGAGAGAGAGAGGGGTTGTTCTCAGGTCTGTGGAAAAGGAGGGATGTGATGATCAGAAAGAAGAGGGTTAGGGGTTAGTTACAGTCGTACAGTCGATCGCCTTGGACCCCAACTCGATCAGACTCGAGAATGCCTGGCTCAGACCCAGGCCCGTCTCGCTCAAAGCAAGCGGGACCTCGCCAAACTTGGACAACAGCAGCAGCAGCATCAACAGAACGCCATCACAGAGTGCACAGGACAATCATATTGACCTGAGCTTGTGAGATCTTAGGTCTTTCTACATAGAGCCGAAAGGGTCGTCCTGAGACATCTACAATACGACCGATCCTCTCACTTGGATGAAGATTGGGTGAAGACGAGAGATTTGATCACAAATCTGATCTGATCATGTCTACCCCTATTCATTCATATCTGCTCATGTTAATGAGCACCATCAACACCAAACAACACCAGCACCAACAATACCACCGAAGACATGTTAGGAAGCGTTGAAGAGACCCCCGTTGTCAAGGACCAAAGCGTGATTTGAGGGCAAAGCTGCCTCAAGTGCTGCATCGATGGAGGTGAGTCAGCTTTTTTTGGCTTTCTTTCAAGCCCGATCCCGTCTTAAACGACTGATTAAACGACCGACCGACTGATTGAACGACTGATTGAACGACTTAGGCAAGCCATGTACCGGACCTCCCAATTGTGGTACCTGTGCCACTCGGGGGCTTCTTTGCGTGTCGGTGTAATCTACAAGAGGCAGCAGCAGCGCTTGTGCCCATAGCCCTGACATGCAGGTTCCCAATCAAGGGTAGCAACGCCAAGGTTGCTTGTCAATTCCCCCATCTCCTTGGGGAGAAAAAAGCTCAGGTCGGGAAGAGTGACAAGCGCAAGCCGGACTCGGAGCCGAAAGGGAAGGAGGCAAAGAGGGCAAAGAAAGCTCGGAGCAGCACCTAGTGAGTCTCGGAACATCGAACTGCGTCGCAGGTGCTTGTTGGAATGCTGATCAGGAAGCAATTTTTTCACACAGGTTCCGGCATGTGATCACAATGCTAGACTGTACTCCTATAAGATTCAGCGAACCGTTGTGATAGTTGTCTAGGTGCAACCAGGATGAGGGGGTCAATTGGAGGCGGCTTTATCGGAGGCTACGTTGGAACCATTGTAGTATGAAACACGTGATCGACTTCTAGAGTCATTGCACTGGTGCAGACTCGAAGGGAGTGACGGTCATCGGTAAGTCGCGGAGAGGGTTGCTACTTAGGGGTTGAGCTGGATCGAAGTCGATGAATTCGGGTTCTGATTCGAATAGTGGCAGTTCATCGAGGAGGTAGGGACACGAAATCACTGACTTGATGTCTGATGACACGAAGCTCGAAGGTCGAGGTGTGGAGCGAAAAGCGGAGCCGAGGCGGATGCGAATTATCGCCTAACGTAAGCTAGTAGATTGTTAGTAGTCCAGGGTGGTTACGCGTAGACAAGCTGTCTGCGATGTCGGCGCGCCTAAGACACTGCTAAGTAAGAATAAGACCGATGCAGGATTGGGATTCCAGTACAATGAGTGGAGCTGTTCTCAATCGTCATGCTTCGGTGACAAAGTTGTGTCATGAAGAGGGGACCAAATGGCTGACTGGCAGACATACGCAACTGGTGTCATGACCCATCTGATTCAGGGCCTTCATCGATAATCGAACTAGTACATCCCAATGCTGGTAAGCTCTCTAGACCCACAAACGAACAACGCACGAGATTGCTCGCCCCAGACTGTCTCCTTGGCCCTGTTTCCCTACCTCCTCCTCCACATCCTCTTCCTCTTCCTCTTCCTCTTCGTCGTCATCGTCATCATCATCTTTCTGGTCGCCCTTCCAATGAACATGAAATGGGCTAGTTCAAGTACTGTGTCTTGTCGTGCTTCTCCTCGGGCTTAAGGGAGGAGCTGGCAGGCGGGACTTTTGCAAACAAAGAGAGAGACAGAAAGCAGCGATTGGTAGAGATGAGGATGTTCAGTGTTAGAGGCTCAAAGATTCTTCGGGGTTATCCTGGCCCGCATCACCAGCATGATCAAGCCCCTCAAAGCGACTGTCGATCAGATTTAGCAGAGGTGGGATAATCAGTGCCAGGTATGTTCTGTTTCAAGAGCCTGCAACTCGACCAGGCACTTACGACCGTTTACAGGCTGTCATCAGTCAGCGAGAGCCGAGACCCACGACTGCGCGCTGTTAAATGTTTGTGACAACAACAAGGACTTGGCCGATTTCTGAAAGTCTGGGGTAGCGGTCGGGTTTCTTTGGGCATGCGAACTCGATGGATGGTGGCATGAGCGACGTCGACATTCGAGGTAGGACACACATGTACACACACGCCGATCGCCGTAGTAGAAAAAAGCATAGGGAGGACGAGCGAATGCGAAACGAGCATCTGAATCCGCTTCGGCATAGGCGCTGCATGACCCTTGATTTGACCGTCACATTGGTCCCTGTTCAAACGACGATCCTATATTCATGTCGACAGCGGCGGTATTCACAACCCAGTCCAGGTACAAGTCTTGTTCAACCTGACCCTGTTCTTGGCCACCACATCCCCCTCGCGAGCCGATCGACAGGCCATAAAGTCGAATTCGCCCATCTCCGTGACCCAACGGGCGGTCTTGTCGTTCCAGTAGCTAAAGGCCAACTTGTCCAGTCGTATGAAGACGGTCTTCTTTTCGCCGGCTCGAAGGAACACCTTTTGGAAACCCTTGAGCTCTTTCAGCGGACGTCGTAGCGAAGGCGCGATCTGGCTGACGTAGATCTGGACGACGTCGGCGCCGTCGATCTGACTGGTGTTCTCGATCGACAAGGTGATGGTCGCTTCGAGCTCCTCGGCCGTCTCGCCCTCTTCCACGGCCACCACAAATTCGCTCCAGTCTATTGGAATCCGCGGACCATGACAGTATGAGCTCCTTCACCCTCGATCCGAGCAGCCCGAAGCGACACTGAAACTCACGAAACGTCGAATACGAAAGACCTTCTCCCAAAGCAAACATCGGGTCCCTCTTGGTCGCTTCGTAACCGCGATAGCCGACAAAGAGACCTTCCCCATAGTGCACCTTGCCATTTTCGGAACCCCAGTTGAGATGTGCGGTGCAATGTTCGATCTCGTGGGGAAAAGAGAGGGGCATCCTCCCACTCGGGTTGACCTTGCCGAACAAGACGTCTGCCATCGCGTTGCCTAGCAGAGTCGTGCGGAGTAAAAGTCAGTCGATGGTTATGCGTCGGGAAAGGGGATCGAGCGCTGACCTGTTTCGTTGCCACCCAACCAGCATTGCAAGATCGATGACGCCTTGTCCACCCAGGGGAAAGCGAAAGCAGAGCCCTGTAGTCAGTCAGGTTTGCGTCGTCAGCGATCTTCTCGAGGAGTCAATCGCGTGACACGTACCGAGATGTTGCAAATGATGGTGTTGCTGTTCGCCTCGAGCAAGCTCTCGACCAGCTCATCGGTCGCGCCAGGAAGCGCGAATTGGGTTCGATCGGCACCCTCGGTCTCCCAATCCAGATTCCCGCCGGTGACGCAGATGACCGCGTCGCACTCTTTCGCCAGCGTAGCACATTTCTCGATGGCCTCAGTCGAGCTGGCCATTTTGAAGCTGCCTCCGACCCGTAGCGCTGCCAACATCAGGCTCGGCTGACCGGTGTTGGTAGTCTCCGCCGAGACTCGACCGCCCTCCGAGGAGTTTGTAAACTCGACGCGTACGAGGTACCGCTTGCCCGGCTCGACGTGGTAAACCTGGAAATTGGCATCGTGTTGTGTGAGCTGGATGTCGGAGAAAGGTAACGAAAGAAGCCTCGCGTGACCTACACCTGTTTCCTCCCTCGTACCCAGCCCGTAAAAGGTATCTCCTATGGTCTGAGGCTTGTCATACCCGTTCTCGACGACCAGGACATCGTCTACAAACAGTCTGGATTTCCCAACGGAACAGAGTCCGAATTCGAACATGCCAGAATGGGGGAATGTCATGTGACCGGACCCGACGAGGTGGAACTCGTCGTTGAGGCCTGTGCGTAGGACGGCCCGGTCGTCAGATCTCACATCGACAAATATGTACTCGACTCGCCACTCACCGGCCGGCTTGTGATCATTGATCCTGAATTTGGTACTGGCCGCAACGTACGTGGCGACGGGTGTCTCGGAGGCGCTCGGAGCGGTATTGTAAAAGGCGACATCCCAACCTTCGGTACCGTCTTGCGCGGATATGAAGCCGTCTAGCAAGGGAAGGTACCGATGGCCTGAATCGTCAAGCCGAACGAGCTCAGCGCCTTCGATGGGGTGATCGGGGGAGATAGCACAGAGGACTGACTGTAACAACCAGCCGAATATACGACTTCCACTCCTGAGCCTTCAAGCGCGGCTACGATACCATCCCATGCAGTAACCACGTACGAGCTGGTCAAGTACGCGCTGCCACCGCCAGAGACCGTCCGAGTGCGAGCGTTAGGGGTTAGGGGTTAGGGGTTAGGGGTTAGGGGTTAGGGGTTAGGGGTTAGGGGTTAGGGGTTAGGGGTTAGGGGTTAGGGGTTA